AAAAAAAACGCACCCCCGCGAGTGGCAGGATTATTTTTCATCGATTTTTACAGTTTTTTTATACCGAGCTCGCGCGAACTTGACTGAGTTTCGCGCCAAACGTGGATGTATGTGCACTGTTAAAAAAATGTATAGAACTCATACACTTTTAGTACATAAGGTTGCAGTGAAATTATAAATTCGATGTCTTAATAGTGAATTAGTGTACATTTATTATAAGATTCTAAGTGAATTTACAATTTTATAACGTTGTGGTGTGATTTTGTTAAATTGCGGAGAAAAATTATTAATTTGATGTTCGAAAGTCAAATTTGTTTGCTTGCAGAAGAAAAACCGTTTAATACCAAGTACTGATCAACAGAAATTTATACCGTATATTATAAATGTGTAACAGGTATGCACTAAATTTATAATATATGTTATACATTTTATTTGAAAATATATTATGAAATTAGTATACCATGTATGAATAAAACTTCCGAGAAAAATGTTATAGAATTATAATATTTTTTTTAACAGTGTACATGCAATCGACACCGGTCTCTTTTCGACAATGTGAGGTATAGGGATCGGACGAATATGCCGCGCGTTTTCCGGAGGTAAATCTAACGCGGAATAACCCAACCTCGTAGTTCCGAAGAACAAGGAGGAAGTTCCTAAAAGCCATCTGGCGCTGTCCCGTCCTCCCAAAGTATTCTGCAGACTTGGAGTTTAGACTCTACCAACCCCTACCCAAGACCACTACGGCCGGGGCCGACAATTTCTCGTGGATGGTTACTTACAGTGTTGGCTTAAACAACATACTTAACCGGGCTACTTAGTACTCGGGGTGCGGACGTACCCCTTGCAATAATAACATTTCACCCCTTAATCCGCAGCCGCTGTTAGTGCTTAGCTAAGTATCTGGCCCTCCATCCCAGGGCTCAAAATCAAAATAAAGTCGTCGATACGATTCTGCCTAATACCTGGCTCTGCCCTCCTCCCGGATTTACCTCCGAAGTGGATTTTTCAACGATTAATTAAAATCGACATCGTAATCCTTTTACCTTTATTTATGACAAATTTCCTCCAGTTCTTAATTTCTCTCTCGATTTTCATCTCCTCGCGAGATGTCTGTCACTTCCCTCCACGTGGTAAATTCTGGGCTCGGGGTGAGACTTTAAAGAACTAGAAACTTTCGGGAAGTTCCAGGGAGTCTTTGACAAATTCCCGGTTGTTTATGGAATGCGATGAGAGCACGTGGGAATTTTTCCGTCCAGTAGATTAGCGCTCATAAGCCATTTTGGGGCTGCGGGGCGAGACTTATGGCGAGACCACGGTAAACCGTGGGCTGGTAAAACCGTATTGACACCATATGGGTGGGGACAAGGTAATGCACAGAGGGCGGGATATCGGGTCTCTGCGTAAGTTCGCCGGAGTTAGGAGATACCCCATCGGCACAACATAAACCCCCATAGTGCTAAGCGGCTTACTACCTCGCAAGGGCAGTGACGCCTGACATATCCGCGCACACCGTCGACCCTTCGTCCCTTATGATTCCTACTTATTTGGACTTTCCGAGCCCAGCTCGTTTCCCCGGAATTCCGAAATTCCAGAAGCCCTCGAAAATTTCCATCGAAGCTTCAAACATTATTTTCCCCAACGGTTGCTATCCAAGATCGTAGGAATTTTGATTTTAAGAGAAATCGCAAAAACATACGAAATCGTAGATAATTATTGTTCACATAATACAGTCGGTTTATGTGGAATAGAAAAATAAGGGGGCGAGTTCATGGTTAAAGTAATGGATGGCAATCCTCAATTTCGGAGGACGCACTCTCTGGAGGTGTTACGGATGCACTCCAGGACTGTTTTCTTCGTCCTTTCCTGTTTATTTCGCCAAGAATTAGCCTCTGTTTGCAAATGCTTGCATCCTCGTAGGGACCCAAGGTCGGACGAAGTAGCAGCTACTAAAACATTTTGTTTTCCCATGACCGAAACACCCCAAAGCTCTTGGCCGCGCGAGGGTAAAGAGCCCCACTCCCTCTCCATTGAAATCCCACGTACGGGAGGTACTTAAATTAAACGGACGCCGGTGTCACGTTATGCCGATGAATGCCAAGTTATACCTAACCTCTCATTAACCCCGTGTGAGAACCGGGGCCCGACCTCCCCTCGCAAAAGAAACTCGAGAGCTGATTTCCAAATTCGAAATTACACGGTGCGCCTCTATTACAGGGTTCGGCAGATCGCGATAACGAACGCGTCCTTCGAAGGTCCTTTGTAACGTGGCCGGCATTCCCGTTACATCGGGAGGGATTTTATTAACGAATCGTCCATCTCCGGTTATTTAGGGCACACCAGAGCGCGACACAACCGGCATTGTCGTATTTCCCTCGTAGGAGGAAAGCGACGACTTTTCGGACGCAAGGCCCTCCGAGCAGCCGCCATATTGTTCGGGCCCATCGAGGAGATTCGCTTAAATTCGGCTCGCGCGCCCTTAAGCACCCAAGAGTCCATGATCCGACACCAGAGCCGGAAGGGAGGGGCCCAGGGGCCCGAGCCACAAAACTCGAGGCCCAACAATGGCGAAAACCGATTTAAAGGAGATCTCCCGAAGATTTACCGTCAGTTTCACACCTCTCACCAAGGCTCCCCACTGACGTTAAGATCTACAACAAATACCTGCACCCGCCGTAATCTTACTAGGGCCTCCCATAGAAGGGCCTGCACGGACCCATTATGATTCGCGGCCATTGTCGAGGTGTCGAATCTGTCTGCAAATAACCACTAGAGAAATGGTTACTCCGCGCTCGGTCCTCTCTCTCTGCCGCGCGGCGCGGCCCCTCCGCCCCTCTCTCTCGCTCCCGATCGCTCGGTCGCTTTCATTCCGGGCCTCCGCCATTCAGAGTGGACTACATTATTTTGTTGTAAGGCCCGACCACACCGCATTATCCTAAACATCTAAATCCGGACAGCTGGGCTATCGCGAGGGTTCTCATCCGGCGCCCGTTCCCAACATTTATTTCGAAATATACGAAACTTCGAGTTTTTATTTTTAACGCGGACGCGATCGTCATTCAGATATCAAACACCGAGCACCGTGAATTTACCGTAATAAAAATATACATAACGATATGTTACACGTAGATGATATAAATTATACGAAAAATTTGTGGATTTAACATTTTACAATTAATTTGTAATTTTTAGATTAACATATATTTAACAGGTTATACCGTTATCACGGAACCTACGACTCGAATACGTACTTTAATATAAAATAACCTCAATTGTGCGACCGTAATTGCTTGTACATTTGGCTTTATCTTGCTTTGTTCTTGTGCCGAAACGCGTACCCGACATTTCATGAATGCGAACCGCTTTCTAATGAACGCGGCAGAGGTGTTAGAGCAGCAACTGTCAAAACACGGCTGGGCTGAAGGAGAGAGACGGAAAGCTGGGCCCTTCGAGAGGCCCGTAGCGGGGCCGGTCGGAGAAGGACGGAGGAAGGGTGGAGGGGAAGGGAGAGAGAGAGAGGGAGAGACGCGCCCGGCACTCCTTTTCACGCCATGTTGGATGTCCGGGGACGACGCGACACCGATGTCTATCAGAGATCGCGATATCGTCGCTTCAACTTTCAACCACGGTCCGGGCCTTTTTTCTGCCAACGTGACGTGGCCGGCTCCATTTAGAGTCCATCTCGCAGCTGCCCCGAAAACAATACTACCCACGTACATTTAAATGTTACGAGACTCGATACGATCGCCACCAGGGGGTTTATTACGTATTTCTGACGAGAGCGCTCACTTCTCGCACTTCCATCTCACGTGGGTTTATTCGCCGAATTACGTATTCGCTATATGAACGAGATAACTAGCATTTCCGGTCTAGTAATATTGTTAAATAAAGGTAGATGTAAATCGAAAATTGTTGAGAGGTAGTATGTTATTAGCAGGAAAGGCGGAAAGATGAAAAGCCGTTAAAAGTAAAGAAGAGGACACGAGTCTATGCTTCACCATTTCCCTTAAAAATTTGTGCCGAGCCAATTCATATGAATGGTCTCGCATTTTCACCGCCAAAAACGTTCCGTAATACCGTGAGCTACTCATTTTTCACATTTTCGCTCAATTTATTCCCAGTAACTACTTCACACTTTCCAAAACGGCGGTTTTGCTCTGAATTTTAGGTTAGAATTTAAGTCCCTCTTCTCTCCTCCGGGAATACTTATCAAGGGCTCATGAGATCTCGAATGAGCGGTCAATGCACTTTGTATAACACGGATTAATAAATTATACATATATTTGTAAGGTATTTCATATCCGCGAACCATCTTGATAGTCCATGAGGGCAGGAGTCTGGTTAAGTTGCAGGACGCTACGGGTTTTTAATTCCTTCTCGTCTTTTTCCGGTTTCCTGGGTAGCTGGAAAAGAGATGGAATTAATATTCGGTGGTAATTCAAGGTAGTTCGTGATTGCGGATATGTTTTTTCTCGGCACTCGGGCTATCGGCGAGACTCGGCGGCGTCGGGTCTGGCTGCAGGGTGGAGTCGATAGGTTTGGAGGTTAGGGGGGCCGTAAGCTTGCGCGGTTCGGCCGAGGCTTTTCCGAGCTTTGGTCGATGCCTGGTTAACCTATGAGATCGGTTACAGGGAGGCCTGCTCCCCGATTGGTCGATTCTGTTAGCGACACCCGCCCACGCAACGGCATCACGCAACGAGTCTTCCCCTCCCCTCCTTGCGTCCCCTCCCGTCGTTTCCCCTACCTCCGCGCCGACTCCCCCCTCCGCTTTTTCCGCCGTCAGAAACGAAACATAGGAATAAAAAGGGAACCCGCGGAAACCCAGAGATACCGCGATACTCGATATAAAAACGGACACCGTCAACGCGAGCTCGAAGTGTTTTCTCTGCCGAATTCATATTTTCCAGAACATTCGAACACAGCGGAGGAACATTTCGGGAGGTCTCGGGAAGGAGTCTCAGGGACGGGAAATAAACGCACCACCGGCCGGTACACCAGTCTTCATAATAATCTGATAATATATTTTCGCGTGAATGTATTTACAGGCGCAAATAATAATATTCATTTGTTCATATTTATATTTATATATGTATAGTATGTATAGCTTTTTTTCCGGTGCGGTTAATTGATAAATACAAGAGTTCCTCGTTCTAGCAAGTCTATCTACAGGGAGGGAGGGCTCGAGCTCTCGCCTCGGCGTTTCCTAACGTTTCTTTTATTTCCTTCGCTCCCTCCTCTCCTCGTCCTCGAGCATCCGCGCCGGGCTCTTCGGCACTTCCGGAGTGCGACGTCCCCGAGGACTGGCCGACCTCGAGGCTCGGATTCCGAAGAGATCCCTACGGTAGCTCTACTTAGTCTAAGGGCGCGATCGACGTGCTCGGCCGACATTTTAGAGCCCCTCTTGAGAGGGGAGGACGAGGCGCGGACTTAACCTCTTTTCGGAGGTCCCTCCTCTCGTATTACCCCTAATTAATTCGTAATGCATCGCTTGCGTCCCCGCTCGAAAATATTGCAGGCTCCCAGAGAGCTTGACGTCTAGTTCGCCACCGACACCTCTCCAATCCCACTTAAGGAGACCCAAAAGCGACCAAACGTGCTGGTAATAGACGTCCCGACGTCCGTCTCGGCGAAAGTTCGTTACAGCTCTTAATGACGGTTCCCGATTCGCGTTATCCGAAGGTTCGACTTCATACCAGCGAGCCGAAGGTTCGACTTGATACCAGCGAGCCGAAGGTTCGGCTTGATACCAGCGAGCCGAAGAGCGTGGAGATCCGAGCCACCCTGAAGAACACCTCGAAGACCAGGAAAGCTGGGAGCAGTCGAGGGAAAAGTCCATTCTTCCAGAGAGCCAACGCAAGGAATCGAGCACATTCACTGGAACAGCCAACGAGGTCGGATGTCTTCGACACCCCCTGAAGAGCGCGACGACCCTTAAGGGTGTTCGGATCCAAGGTAACCCTGAAGACGTATTGGCGGTCTCCGTTGGCTCTATCGGCTCGATCGGTCGATCGGACCTCACAAGACCTCGAAGCGGCCCTTCGTGGTCGCCCTGTGGCCGTCGAGGAATCCGTCGCGACCCTCTTCGGGGTCCTCGACCTGGGCTCGGTATCACGCCGGTGAAAAGGGCCTGTGGATCTGAGGGGGCTTCGGGTTCTGCGGAGGCGTCGCCACCCTGATCAGACCTTGGCTCTGGCTTTGACCCTGCGGGGTCTGCTGGGTCGAGGGTGGACTACCCCTCGAAGAGGGCGTGTGCGGACTCGGCACCGCCACCCTGAGGGGTCCGGTCACCGAGAGGTTGGTCGCCACCAGCGGAGGACTGTGCGCGTCCGACAGGCTGTCCGACAGTCGCGAACCTTCGGATATCCTGGAGATTCCCTCGGGAAGCTGGTGCTGGGGGTGCGGATGATGCAGCAGCCCCTCGTGGGGGTGCAACCGCGGCGGGGCCAGCCCCAACGGATCCGGCAACCTGGAACCACATTCGCGGGTTAGAGATGGACTCCATACCCTCCTACGGTGAAGAAAGAAAATCGAACTTTATGAGTCTTCGACAAATAAATATTATTCGAGTCTTTACTCGGACATCGCGTGCTGGTTTTTTTAACGCTCGATATAACAAGGTATAGGAAAATTCCTGGCTGATGGGAACGTAATCGTGATAAATCATACATTCCGTTACACCCTGTATATTTTATAAATATACAAATTTAGGGGAAATGAGTAACAATTTTTCTACTCAGTTTCACAGATTTTGAATATTCCAGTGTATGAAATTTGTATAATTGTGATAAATCTATTCAGGAATTTGGAACGCACGTGAAACATTGCTCTTTTAAGGTGATACGAAAGTGTCATTCAATATATCAAAACGTCGAAATATAAATAAAACTTTTCTCGAATCGTTTGAAACCTCGGCATGTGATTATGAGGGCCCTATGAGAAACGCAATGCTCGTGAAATTTCATTTTACACGAAAAAAAAGAAAATGTGATTTTGGTTCTAGTTTAGGTTAATTAAAAAAATTCTTTTCTTAAAAATGAAATTTCACGAGTTGCGCGTTCTCTCGTAGGGCCTATCCATAATCATGTGTTAAAATTTCAAATGTGCTTCGGTGCACCCTGTTTGGAGAAAAGTTTTATAAATATTTTGACGTTTCATGTATATGTAATGGCCCTTTCATATTACCTTAAGAATATATAATTTTATCAGAATTTTATGTATGAATTTCGTTTTTCTTTTCACCCCCTTGTCCTGGATTTGCGACTCTGGAAAGGGTTCCAGGGCCCTTACGTACCTTGATCCCAGATCACCCCTGGGCCCTACGGCCTGGAACGGACTGGTCTCCGTCAGCCTGAAGATCCCACCCCCCGCGACGTTGGGGTGGTTGTGCTGAGGACTGTGAGGCCCGAACCGAAACCCAGCCGGTGGGAACTTGAAGGCCGTCGCGTGCCCGAACCGGAACTGCGACTGGGTCGGGTCGAATCGGAAGTTCAGGGTGGGTGGAGGAATGGGTCCCAGGGGACCCAACGGCACCGGCGACGGCTGGTGGGTGGCGGGTGGCGAGGAACTCGGCGATGGGGGGGACGTTCCCCCCAAGGAGATGTCCGAGTCCTCGGAATCGCTGCCTCCTGGTCCAGGACTCAGATTGCGGCGGGTGTTTCCGTTTCCGGGACCAGATTGCTGCTGCATTCTGAAAAACGAAACACCTAGTTATTTATGCGAGCTACGAAGAAGTGTTAAATGTATGACTAAATTCCGCCGACTCGACCATGTGCATTAATTGCAGCTTATAGGCGCTTATAAATATTAAGGTTATTTTTAATGCAATTTCATCAGGGTCGGGACCTTCCTTGGGATTTCCCCAACCACGTGGCAAAGTTTCAAACCACTTGGTGCAACCATTTCGGAGAAAAGATGTACAAGCCATTCGACGCCTAGGGGGCGACTTTCGCGTCACCTTAAGCGCGTCCACGATTTATCATCCAGCCATCGCCAGGGCGCGCATTACCGCTGTCGGTACAGTAATTACAGGTATCATCGCGGGGCGGCATTAAGGCAACGCACTGTGGCGGCCGTAATCTAATTCCGCCCTGGAAGCGAAGAGTCAAGTAGAGAAAATTCCCGGCTAATCGAGTCGACCCTGAAGAGGGGACCACATCCCGAAGGACTCAGGCCCTGCAGACCCTCCTTAAGGACTCCTTCCCGGGCACGACTCCGCGTCCGTTCCCATTTGCGCAACGAGTGGCGTGCTCGCGACATCGTGTCATTTCCTGTCATTAAGAGACGCACTCGGGGCCTGTACACACCTTGTTTTCTCAAGTTGGGCCGCAGAACCGCGAGTAAGCGGACGCGACGCGCGTCGTCGAGTCGCCTCCCATTCGGCGCACAAAATGGAGTAAATCCTCCCACGAGATTACGCGTATTCGCGTTCCTGACGAGCCACTCGTATGTATATCTCCGTAATTATTCCCGTTTAATTTTTCCTCGTTTAATACTTTTCTTAGGGTTTGGTCCAGAGAGACGGAGCTTGTCCGGGATACGATGAGGAGGAGACGCGAGGCGGGAAGGGGACTTTTTCCAGGAAAGAGGTCCTCGAGATCGGCGCGGATTAGAGGAGGCACATCCGAAGATTCGTCATTACACCTCGACGCGAGCTAAAAGCCCGGCGGGGCCCCACCTTCCCTAAAAGCCCCGTACTTAAAGTCCGAGCCCCTAAGCCGCCTCGTCGAGAGGGCCGTCGGCGCCTTTTCCGTGGAAACGACCGTTCCGCGCCCGAGGACCCATTTGCCGGTTCCGTTTCCATTGTTTAGCCCGGCAGCCCGGAGCGTTTACACAGACCGGAAGCGATATAAATCGCGAGCGCCCGTCCGCGCCTCGGAGGCCTTAAAAGCTCTCCCGGATCGATGAGCGTCGCGACGTAGACGGAGACGTCGCCGAGATATGTTGTCCTTGCTAATTGAGTCGCCTCCACGTTACCGGGGCAACCCCTCGCCGACGGTTCCCGGAACTCTGGATCTATTTCGGAACATGCTCCGTGAAGCGAGATCGAGTTCTCCGGAATCGCAAATGGCGGATATCGTTTACACGGTGCGAGTCTCTTTACGTCGCATCTCGTTGTAAATATTTTTCTTATTAATTCAATGAATAATCATTTTAGACATTGTCACAGGTTTAACTGTAACGTGTAAACGGTATGAGAGATCTCGCCTTAATTCTCCATATTATTAGGTCGTTTATTGCAAAACTGTGGATTTTATTGTTAGACATGCAAAAACCCACGGGTTTGTGTTAAACAACCCGGTGTAAATCGTTGCGAGTCGTCGTTAAGTGTGTAGTCACCCTAAGGAATTTATCCGTCGATTTACCTTTCGGCGGCGCAGGAGACTCGCGGGCGCCGGTAGGCCGGAACGTGTGTACGAAGTGCTCCATTACCGGGATAACTTACCGCGTTTGCGGAGTCCTGCGAACAGGTCCCTCGAGTGCACTCGCGCGCGTGCGCGTGTATACCCGTCTGTCTCCGTTTCGAAGGAAATAAGGCGAGCCTCGCGAAGGATGAAACGAAAGTGCCGCGCGAAGGTCGACGCGCGGCGAGCAAGATGGCGGCCCCTGGTCCGCCATCTTGGAGAGGACTAAACCGCGGGATATTAATTCCGAGTTGTCTTTGGAGGAAGTGTATTAGAGTGTAGGTGCGTGGAAGAGCTCGCATGGATGTGGGTAAATGAAAAAGACGTCGAGATAAACGAAAATACGGGCCAGAAGAAGGCTGAGCATAACGAGGCCGGTGGCTTTCGGTGCTCGCCCGTACCGAGAGCGGCGACGCCGTAATCGAAGCCGCCTCCAGCCTCCGGACGGCCGACGCGTTTTAATTATGCGCGTCCTGCCTTTGTTTGGTCCTTTCTCGCCTGCAGATGGCGACGCGAGTGGCGGGCTCGTTGGCCTCCCGAATGTCTCATTATGTGCAGAGAACGGTGGACGACGACTTCACTGAGGTTCGGTTCCACCAGACGGGGACCCGAGCAACCTAACCTCCGCTCTGACGCGACGGCTACCGTAAACCAAGATGGCGGACGACCGACCCACGTTCAAAACACGGTTCTTACTCGATTACCGAAATTAAGAACCGTTACATGCGTTTGGTATTGCAGTGGACGACCACATGGGAACGCGGTGACAAATAACACGCCAGATGACGAATTTACTGCACTGAGAAAAGAAACATTCATTGAGCCAAAGAAAAATATTTCTTAGAACAGTACCGAGGAAATCTTTCGTTAATTCCAAGAATAATTGTTTCACTCGAACAAATTGTCATAATTCCGAATGAATGTTGTATCCAAATCATTTGAGTTTATTTTAGTCTAATAAAGCGCTCTTTGAATTGGCAAAATATTTCTTTGGTTCAATTTCTCCTCGGGGTATGTTAGACGTTGGGTCCTGGGGGAAAAGGCAGGACTTTAATCCTTTCCGCGCACGGCAAACTCGGGACTCGAAAGTCTGCACGAGCGGCCACAGGTGGCGGGCTGGTAATTAAAAAAAAATTCATCAGTGGCGGGAAAGTATCAGGTGCAAAGGAGGACCCGGGAGGACGAGCGGCGTGTATTTACGCGCGATGACGAATCGCTTTCGGATTCCCGCGGCGAAGAAACGCTCGGCGGAGCGCGGCGCGCGTGTCACGGCTTCCACCGTGTCCGGTGGTATCGTTTCGTAACGTCGCCTTATTCGTCGTCCACGGCGCCATATTCCACCTCGTCGAGCGTATTTTCGTGAAGAATGAAAACCATTCCAGTACCAGCGCCGCCGAATGCGCGGACTCGTAGATATCCCTCGTAATGAATAAATATAAAAAATAATTAATTCCCCAAATACGGCGATCCAGGGATGAATATCATCTATCGCGTTCACCGAAGATCGATCGATATTCGATCCTGCGATTCTAGGATTTATAAGCGAGGGATAATTCGGAAGTTTAATTAGGAAATAATGCGAGGGGGTCCACGGCATCCCTTTCGCCCTCGATCCTTCCCCTGCTTTCTTTGCCGAGATCCAGCGGTCGATCCACGTCAGATCCCGATCGGCGTGGAAGGATATCATTTTAACAGAATCTGCCCCGTGTCACGGGACACCATAGACTCGTACTCGTCCCCCATAGATTTCGTAAGGCGCGCCACCGGCCCCCGGCCGCGGTCCTTCCCCGTACCATGCTAAATACCCGATGCACAATGGGGTATATATCGTCCGAAAATCTGAGCCCTTGCAGGGCCCACAAAAGGAAACTCGATACTCGACCGGAGCAGCATGTGAACAGGGCGCGCGATTCGAAACGGGCCTTCTCTCTCTCATGGATCTCTCTCCCCGCGCCGCCCTTATTCCGACCTTTTTTCCAGTTCCTCTTAATAGCCGCTAATAGAGACGTTAAAGCGATACGGCCCCTCTCGCGACTTGCCCGATGCTCGGTTCGCCTCCACGAGGCGACGACCTAACCTAGAAATCGCACGCGCGTAGAGGGCTCCCTTAAACCGACGCCAACAGGGATCAATCGACGAAAGTGTATACGAGTAATGTTCGATACTTTCATTTCGATACCAAGCACTTTTGGCATCGATACTCTCGGCTCGATCGATAAAAATTACTCTTGCGCTCGTTATGTTATGCGAACAACCTAACCTAGAAATCCCAAACGTATAGGGCGCTCTCTTTGCTCGCTTCGCAAGCGACCTAACCTGAAAATCGCATTCCCTAGGCAAGGCACGCAGTAAACACCCATGCCGAAGTACTTATTCCGCCACATAAAGCACTTAATGCAACAAATACTTCCCCTGTACCTAGGTATACACGAATATATAGATGCGTAAAGTGCTTCTCGAAGCATTTGCTGCGTGCTTACCGTGTGCCTCTTCGATGTGTAAATTTAAACTGCTAATTTCCCTTGTTACAGATACGAGGATGCCTTTGTACAACGTTAAAAGAATTCATGAAATTCATACACTTTTAGTACACAAGGTGGCTTTAAAATTATTAATTTGATGCCTTAATAGTGAATTGGTATACATTTAATATAAAATTCGAAGTAAATTTACAATTTTATAACACCGTGTTGTTATTATGTGTACTCATCAACCCAAATTGATAACATATATTATAGATTTATTACACGTATGCACTAAATTTATAATATATGTTGGATATTTTGTTTGAAAATATGTTATAAAATTATGTAATGGTTTTTTTAACGGTGTAGGAAAAAATCCAGAGATCGTCTTAGCGGTTCCAAGGGAAGAGGATATCGGTGCCGATGCGTCGTGGGGATAAGGCTTAAAACAAAGGCCTGGGCTCTCTCCGCTCGGACGCTGGTGCATTAAAGGAATCGGCAACGTCCGCCGAGAAGGAACTCCGCGAGCGACAGGTAGTCCATGATTTGCAAGATCTTATCCGACCCCGCCGCGGTGGAAGCCGTTTTCGAAGGCGTGCAATATGGCGTCGGCGGCCTCGCCGGGCAAATGTTTGCCAGGGACCGCGAAAAAGGAGAGCCGCCATTATCGGCCGTCTCCGCTCGGATCTCCGTGAATTTCGATATGTTTGAGGATTTTAAGTGCCTCGGCCTCGGAAAACGATACCGCCGCTGCCGTGCACTTTGAGATCGGGAAACGTCGGAATGGAGATTCTAAAGGGGAGGCCTGTGAGGGTTTTCGA